TTCTGTGCAAAGTGACAGATCGATCCCTGAAGGGCTGGTCCACATGGTGACAGTTCTAATTAAGATCCCTGTCACTCTGCAGCCAGGCCTGATGCTCAGGTCTCCAGAGAAAAGTATTCTGCTCTGGAGTATAAATACAGTTTCAATGATCATCGAAATGTAACGCTACAGGATATGCCTTCTCAGGGCTAGATTTAAAAAAATCATGTGAACATATTAGGAAATCAAATGAGAATCCGGAAGAAAAATTACTATGTAAGAGCATGAAAATTAAGGGGCAGTTTCCTTTAGTTTTGGATTTCATGAGTGTTTTCACATGATCACAAGCATAGCTAAAATAATTTGTTTTCACTTAACAGAGTATCAAACTTGTCTAGATTTCCAAAGACTTCAAAACCGTAATATTAATAATTCCACAAAATACCCCTGTGGAGATGGTGCTAAAGCATTCTCTGGATCAGGGAAAGATAATTAGGATGGGTGTCCCCACAGAGATTGGTTCTTCCATGATGTGGAGATGCCAAGGGCTGTAGTAATTAGATAATGAAGAGAAAAGCAAGGGAACAGAGATACCAAAGAATTATTTTCCTTCAGATGCCCAGAGATGACACAGCTGGTCATGGCTGACAAAGTTAGCAGCCCCTGGAGGTGGGAAATTTTAAAGAAGACTACAAGTGTCACTTTCAGTTGGTACATAATTTCTCTCTTTACTGGGTTTATGGAATCTCTCTATCAGGCTATAAGGGACAGAACAGGAGGACAGTTATCTGGAAAGTAAGAGGAGCTACATGGAAGGTCTTTAGCACAGTTCGTGGCATACACTCTATCTCCTCGACATCATCATGGCCACAGAGCTAAGCAGTGAACTTCATAGCAGTTCTCAGTCCTACTGGCTTCCATTTTTCGTCCAGTAACTCAGATCCCTAGAGGCTTATTCCAAGACCTCTGGGGCTGGAAGTCCTCCCATTTTCAGAGCAGAGCTCTTCTTTATAAAAGGGTCTCAGTTTACCTGCTCCTCTCGGTCTGCTTGGGCTTTCTTAGCAACACCTGCTTGCTCCTGGGCGGCTGACCTCTTGTCCGGTTTGGACTGGGATTTCTCATCCCAGGCAACATCTCCATCAGGATCCCTTTTGCCCCCTTCTTCCTGTGCCTCTTCTACTCAGGATTGGTGTCAAACATGAATTACTTCTTGGCCAGGGTTGGAAAGCACGGAGGCTGAGGGAGGCCAGGATAATAGGGTCCTCTTGCCCACCAGAGCAAGTGAGAGCCTGTGGGTGTTTTAGGTTCACTTTTCTCCCTCAGGCAGATCTACCCAGTGACAGTTAACATCACACCATTTGCTTTCGACCAAGTTCCCAGTGCCAGCCTGGAACAGGGCCTGCCGAGCAGCCTGCTCCTCAGCCTTCCATGGCTGGTTCTGCTGTGTACGGCTATGCAAGGTCCTCGCGGGGGCTGCAATGCATCGTGGGTTCTGCGCAAGTTGTGTCCCAGGCAGGGTGTGCCCACAGGAAGGGCAGGTCTCTTGTTAGTGCGAAGGCAGAGCGCGTGCTTGCTTAGCCCCGGGTAAGCTCCTTGATAAGAAGAGTGCATGCATTTTCAGGGGATGAATTAGCATCAGGGGAAAAGTTTGCTTTTTCTTTAAAATTTCCTGGATGAGGTCTGTGACCAATTTTAAGAAGGCTGGGCTTTAGAGCAGAGTGTGGGAGGAGCATGCACACATCTTGTTACACTTAGCGACATTCATTCATCACACCCACTCTCTACTGCCAATTTCTCTCCCAAGACAGCAATAATTTCTACTTAAAAGGCTTACATTTTATACTATGCTTACTACAACTGACTAAAGGTATAATCAACTGTCAGCACAAGTAGCTATAGGTAGATACATTCAGTGTTATTCCAGATTTTTACAAGTCTAATGCATAACATTCACAATAGTATAGAACAGTTAAGAAACTGAAAAGCTATGAATTTATTCACACTTCAGTATTCCAAACTCTTTGATTAACGTTAATTTCAATTCCATAGTAAGAGAACGCAGCTTTTTGCACTTCCTAAGTATACTACAATTTCACCATCTATGTCCATGTCTTAAAGGGAACACAGATCTACTATGTATAAAGTCATTTTGGTGTTTAAGAAACCAAACTACAATAGATATTGTCCAAGAAACACTATATTAACTTCCACTCTGCAGCAAAGAATCATCGCATTCAGACTACAAGAGCAGCAGCGCAGAGCCCCTGGGAACTGAGTGTTGGAAAGGTGCCCGGCTTGAGAGAACCATCCAAAGAGCTCGCTCTCTAAAAAGTCTAAACACTTCACCTATCTCCTTCACCAAAGTATAACACACACGACTCAACATTTTCTTAATGACACAGCACATTAAGAAAGAGCAACGGCTTTGAAATGAAGAGGACTGGGTTTGACTCATGGGTCAATGCGCACTGGGAGGCCACGCTCAGTCCCTCGCTGTGCCTTCCTGGGCTTGTCGTCCTTACGATGGGATCGCTGCATTCCTCCGAGCTGTCGAGAAGGGGGCTTTAAACAGCACGCAGAGTGCTCAGGGCGGTGCCCGGCCCTTGCAGAAGGTGCTCGATGAAATGCCAGCCCACTGCCTGTCCCCTCCGTTCACCACCTGAACAGCTGAGTTATTATATGTGCCGTAGGCTTGTCACCCTTCTGCCGATGCTCACGTCAAGAATGAGGTACTGGGTAGAATAAATACAACTCCAGGTCTGGCCCTAGGGCTTGTTTTTATTTTTTTAAGCACTAATACCAGACACCTAACTATATATTTTTTTCACTTGGCCTTTTTCTCCGCATAAAAGTGGACTATGAGCACACGGCTCCTCGGCCACGGGACATGGCTGCCCTTCTGCAAACTTCGTCCATAAGCAGGTGTTTACTCTCAGGATGTCAGCTCCCCTTACGCTATTTTCAGTTCATGTTTCACAGACCTTTGTGCCACAGGCTAAGATTACGCGTGTTGTGAAAGAAGCCACAAGGCAATCAAGGCAAACAGTGAGGCAGACACTTAAATATTTGCCGGTGTGTTTGACCTCAGCCTTCCCAGCAATTTTTGTGCCCTTTGGTTTACGAATGCTTTAAATGTGCTTTGTAGCCTATAGCCTCTGAGCTTAACACATGGTTAATGAAGCTAAGTACAGTAACTATTTTCTTGGGTACCTTTATAAAACAACCAATATTCACTATTTCATCCCCATTACAGACCCATGACGTGTGAGCTATGGGTTATCAATTATACTTTAGAGAGGGGCGAATTTAGGTGTGACTGCAATTCAGGTGCAAGGAGGGAAATATACACAATTTAGAGCAGGTATCTTTCTTTACATCTCTAAACCAAAAAGCATAAAACACATTATTTACTCACTTCACTAATAATATGGTTGGCAACTCCATGAGCAATAGCCAGCCACCTTATTTCCCGAGGCATGAAATCTGGTTGGGCTGACACTAAACTTATCGCCTTCTTTCTACTCCCCTTTGCACTTGTTACTTGACCGAAGGTTTTTATTTTTCCCTTTCTACCTACTATTTTGATTTTAGCTGTCAAAGTTGCCTCAATTATTTTATGAAACATTTCTCAAACTTGACTAGCTCTAGGAAAGAGAGTGGACAATATCATACACTTTAATAAGCCTCCAAAGAAGGAAATTTAGTAGAAGAGTGAACACCTGTCTTTCTTCACCCAATACCACCTTCTGGGTGAAGGTTTTCACTGACGCCCCAGTCGGCCACACCCTCAGTTTTGTTCCCACCGTGCCTTGTATTCTGCTTCTATTTGACCTCCCATCACGGTAAGGACATACGATTCTGTATATGCCTCTTTCTCCCGCCAGGACGTGAGCCTGTCAGGAGAAGCGGCCCTGATTTTAGCATAGAAGACACTGAACGTAAGTTGAGTGACGTGGAATTAAGGAACAAAACTTTGTAAAAGACGATAAGCATCCAGTCTGTGTCTGCGTGGGCTGAGTTGAGTAATTCTGAAATAAAAATGAGGGGAGGGGAGCAACATGGGTGAAGTGGGCCAAAGGCACAAACTTGCAGTTATTAGATAAATACGTCTGGGGATGTAATGCACAGCATGGAGATTGTAGTTAACGATACTGTATTGTGTATTTGACGGATGCTAAGAGAGTAGAATGAAAAGTTCTCGTCACAAAAAAATAAAAATTGTAACTATGTGTGGTGATGATGTTAACTAAAATTATTCTAGTAATCATTTTGCAATATATACATATATTAAATCATGTTGTACACCTAAATCTAATATAATGTTATATGTTGATTATATCTCAGTTCAAAATAGTTTATAAAGGAAAGGTTTTGTGTGTCCTAATAAGTGTTTCACTAACATAAAACTAGTTACGAACCACGAAGCTTCAGACCTGAATTCATATTGTCTTACGCAGCTTTGTTTTCATTTGCTCTGATTACTCTTTCCGGAGAGAGAGAGAGAGAGGTTGATGTTCTCTGGAGATGCCTGTTAGACCACAACAGTTTTAGTAATGAACAAGCTTGTCTTTCAAACCATCAATTCTAATCTATTACTTGACACCCCAACTCTGAGGCATGTGTGGAGGACAGGGTGCCGAAATGATAGACATGGCCGTTGGGGGCTTTACATTTTTTCGGTCTTGTTTTTAAGCCAATAAAGCCATGACTGAGTCACTGAGCTTCGGTGATAACGATGAAAACTCAAGTTATCTTGCAAACTCCCGTAAAATAGTTCTTTAGGATATTTGAAAACTACACCAACAAACCACTGAGCTAAGATTAAAATACCATGTTCCCTGGGTCCTATTTAAAATCATATTGCTTTACTTACCTTTCTATCATTTAGTTATAAAATTGAAGATGTGAAATTGTCTTAAACAATCAAAATGTATAACAAGGAAAAATAATGAAATCTCATGCCTCGAGGAGACGCTCCTCTGTTAAATGTTCAGCCTCCTCGATGACACTTAGTACTGTACCTGTCCTGTGTACGCGAACTCCAGGGCCTGCTTTAAGCCAAGGCTGGTCACACCGTGCAAATTGACCTCGTCAGCTCCACTTTCCACCATACAGAGGCTGAACATTGCCTGAGGTGGGGAAAAAGGGAGAGGCAGAGTGTTACGGGACTTATAAAAAAGCGAGGGCACAAGACAAAGTCCTAGAGAGTCTGGGAAAGAAAAAAGTTTACAAGTTAAAGACTGATTTGGGTTTCTGAAATGCTCTGGCAAAGCTTCACTCACACAAGCCACTGCAAATCTCTGTGCTGCCTCACCAGGTACAGGAACACACAGGTACATCCCACACGGACTCTCCTTTACTCCCACGGCCGTTCTCTGGGCGACTGTGTTTAGATCCACTGAACTCATTCTCTTGATCCTGGGGTCTCACTGCTACTGTGAACCGTGTAGCACTCCCAACATTCTTGCCAACAAGACATGGAAAGTATCTTGTCTGCAACTGTTCTTCCTTTACTCTGCCCCACCTCGATGACTTGTCTCATTCCTCTCTTCTGCTACATAATCACACACTCTATTCCAGTGGTTCTCAAAATGTGGCTCCTGGACTGGCAACATCAGTACAGTCCAAGAAATCGTTATTGATTCTTGGGGCTGGGGTCCCAGGACTGATTGAATCAGAAACTCAGAGTGGGGCCCAGTGATCTGAGTTGTAATGGGCCATCCAGGTGACTACGATGCTCACTTGGTTTTGAAAACCACTGTCTAAATTACTTAGGGAAAATCAGTTTGCTCCCAAACTAATTCTCCAAATGGCCAACTTATTGCAAAATCTGTTCTTCCACTAAATGATCAATATGTCAAGTGAAAACTTAAAAATTGAAAAAATTAAAACTTGCCAAATCAAACAAATGTGTGGGTTTGTGCCCCCCACCCAAAAACCTTTGACAAGTTTGACTTAACAGGTATAAAGAGAGTATTCAACTTTGTGTTACTGATGATGGAATACACTTTAGACTATATATGTCTGTGCAGTGAAGGATTAACCTCACCCAAAGAGAGGTCTGCCTTTGCCCTGGGCTTCCAGAACGTGATCTCTGGGCGCCTGGAACATCCTGCCCAATAGGGCTGTCTTTGTCTGTCTGGTGGCTTTGACCTCTGACAGTCTAGGGAACATGATTTATGATGGGGTTTTGGGCCACACTGTATCAGTTCTGATCTCCAGAGGAACTGGAGACTAAACGTATTAACTTGAACTCCAGGAGAGGATGGAGACGAAAGGTCAGACACATAGGCAGTTTGTGACTGAGCCCCAGCAAATACTCTGACACCACAAGCCTGGGTGAGCTTCCCTGGTCGCAGTCCCCCGTGCACACTGTCACACAGCATGGCCAGAGGAGGCAACACTGACTCCACAGGCGGCGGGTGGCCGGGAGCTCCGTGGTCGGCCCCCTTCTGCCCTCTGCCGTATGTGTATCTTGCCTTGGCTGGTTCTGATTTGCATCCTTTCCCTGTAATAAGCCAAATCCATGAGTATAAAAACTTTCAGTGAGTTCTGTGACTCTGTCTAGCAAATTATTGAACATGAGAGTAGTTTTAGGAATCCCCTCAAACTTGCAGTTGGTGTCAGAATGAAAGAAGTCCCTTTAGATTCTGCAGTTTGGCTACCTCACCAAAGTAAAAAAATAAAAATAAAAAATAGGAAAAACAACACAACACATTTACCTCATGGTTCTGTGTGGTAATAGTTCAGCTCACCCAAAATCTTTTTAATTTTAAAAATGTCATATTTTGGCCCTGGCTGGTGTGGCTCAGCGGTTGGAGTATCTGCCTGTGCACTGACGGGTTGCAGGTTCAATTCCCAGTCAAGGCCAAGTACCTGGCAGGCAAGCAATTGATGTGTCCCTCTCACATCGCTGTTTCTCTCTCTCTTTCTCTCTCTCCCTCTCCCTCCCTCCCTTCCACTCTCTCTAAAAATAAACAGAAAAAATATCCTTGGGTGAGAGTTAACAACAATAAAAAATGTCATATTTGTTTTGCTAATGTATTAATATGCACCTTTTAGCCATTTTTTATTTTGATAAATTTATTTTTGATCCTTATAATTCTATATATTTTAAATTAAGAATGTATTTAACTTTCAGAAATTTACTTGATCATAAATAAAATCTAACCTTTAAAATCTGATCTTCTAAATCTATCCTTAGAATCTGTTAAAGGCAAATGGTCAATGTAGTAAATTTGGGAACCTGGTTAGTTAGTGAATTGATCTGGCTTCCCACTGGTGTCACCAGCAGTAAAGGCACCATGTGGGAGGTTAAGAACATTTTATTTGAAGTAACATAATCCTTGATCTGGTGAAACACACTGGTTAAGGCAAACTTGCAAACAAACAAGTTTGGTTTGGTCACCGGCAAGTGGCTAGGATAAACACGTAACCTGTGAATCAGTTTTTTTATCTGAAAAATGAAACTAATGAACTTGTTTGAAGATTTATATGACAGTACATATGTAAAGTATTCAATACATGGCCTGATAACAGGCAAGCTCTTGGTGAAATTTATATTTTGTGATAATAAAATTTCTTTTATACATTCTCCAGGTAAAAGAACTGACACATTAGAAGCACCAATTTCTGGGGGCCTTTTGGAAATCAAGTGTGGTTATACATAAAAAATGCCAACAGGAAATTGACTTTAATGTTAAATGGATTCTACTTATGCATTTGTAGAAGATCTGAAATTTTAAAATTAAAAAGCACAGGTCACAATAAAAAAAATCTTTCAATTCGTGTAATTCTGAATTTGCTGCCAGACTTCTTATTGCTGCTTTTAAAAAACATGAAAGAAATTTCACTTGTTTTAAATGTCTGTTTTTTATCATATTGGAGGTGTTTCAGGTTTTAATATTCCCCACACTAATTTGTTTTTTCAGATCCTCCAAGTTGAAATTGCACCTGATAGGGTGACCAGCTGTTCTCCATTAACCCCATATGCAGAGCAAGACAGAAATGACTCAGACTACAGAAGAATTATCTGGGTTAATGAAATGGAAAAAAGTTCCTGAGAGCAAAAGTTAAATAACAGAACAAGCTGCCAAGGGAGTTTTTTGAATCTGCTTTCGTAGGTGTCTTTCAAAAGCAACCAGGGCAGTTGGCATAGAACAGGCACCCTCAACCAGAGGGCTGTGAGCTACTGAACTTGAAGCCTGGCTTGGCAGAGTTGGGGCGAGAACACAACCCCTTAATAAGGTACAATATATTTGAACATATTATAGGATACGGCTGTAGAGGGAAGGAAGACACTGTTAATTTTACTCCATTTACATAGTATTATTTGGATTATTACAATGGACATATGTTACCTGTGTATTTCTAACAACTGCCTTTTGAAAATGTTATTTTTAATGTTCAGGACTGTGCGGGAAGACACATCTGATTCAAATCCTAGTTCTATAACCTTCTGGACATGTGGGCAATATACCTTGAACATGTGACCTTGGCTAACTCGTTAACTTTTCTAAACCTCAGGCCCCTTATCTGTAAAATGAGGATAATACCAGCCTCACAGGGTTGTCTTGAGGTTTAGGTAGAATTATGCTTAAGGTCAAGCATAATACTTGGCACACGTAGATGCTTAATAAATAGAAACTGTTATTCTAGCCCACACCGATTGTCCTACTTTACTCTCCCATACCTCTTTTTTAAATTTTTATTTAAATGTATCTTATTGATTTCAGAGAGAGGAAAGGAGAGGGAGAGAAAAACATCAGTGATGAATCATTGATCTGCTGCCTCCTGCGCGCCCCCGACTGGGGGTCGAGCCTGTAACCCGAGCATGAGCTCCGACCGGGAATCAAATGGTGATCTCTTGGATCCTAGGTCGATGCTGAACCGCTGAGCCACACCGGCTGGGCTCCCATGCCTCCTTTTGATTCCAATTGTACTGAGAGTTAAAAAACACCTCCCTTCTTCCCTTCCCCTCTGCCTGAATCCATTCCTTTCAAATACTTTCCTAATGACAATCCTACTCAAAATTCCTATGATTGGCTCCAGGACTTCACTTTCACGACATACTCCTACACCCTACTTTAAGGACAGACCCCATCATAAAAACCATCACCGCTGTTTCTATAAACACAAAATATATTACACCATCTAGTTTTAGAAGTTTAATGTTACAAATTTAATGTGTCGTAACTTTTAATAATTAGAAAATTGGTTCATTAAAAAAAAAGGTAAATATTAAATCAAGGTCAATGTCTTGAGTTTAACAAACTTACAAGGCACCCAAATTAGGAAAAGGCTCACAGGGTACCACCAAACTAAGAAAGAACCTGGCTGCCTGACAGAGTGAAACACCAGTGGCCTAGGCTGCCTGAGAGCTTGTGCAACAGTCTGGAGACCTGCCTGAGCCCACAGGAAAGGACAAAAAGCCTTTTTGGTAGCAAAAGAGGTGATGAGACCAAGAGTGCTATCTCTTAGCATCGATCTCCTTGAAAAGGTAAACTAAGCTTCCCAAAAGCGGGTGCCACACTTCCTTATAAACTGTGCATGCAATACCGGTGAATGAACAGATGAACAAATGAACAAGCTTTTCAAAAACTCAGCTGCGGATGGTGTCCGGCTGTTTTACACTGCTGTAAGCAAGAGTAATTAATTTGACATATTAAAGAACTTTCACGATGTAAGATGTTTTAGACCCTGAGATAAAACAGCTAAAGCTAAAGAGAAAGGGTATCTACCATAAGCTAAATACAAATAAGTTCAAAGCTAGACATTTGGAAAAAATTCACATAGTAATGCCTTCTATTAAGCCACATTCTGCCAAAGCATGGGATAAGATTGTGCCTACAAATATGAAAGCATTGACACGCTGGTTCACGCTGCATTGTCTCTGGGAGCGCCTGGGCCGGGCTGAGATTCACAGGTTCGTCACAGCTCACTCATGACTGATAATGGGACTGCCACCTCCACAAATCTTTCTAATTGAAAACCCAGTTTGTGAGACTACAATCCACTTTAAGTGCCTACGTCAGAGAGACTTATGGATTTATAGTGTGTCATTCCTCCTGTATTTCGCACAGAAATGACACAAATTGAATCCTAACATCACAGCCCATGAATCAAGTTC